ACCACAAGGTCCAATTTGGGTCTGCAGAGGAAGCGAGGAGGAGAGAAGAGGGATGAGGGGGGAGGGACGCACATGCTCTTTGACCCCAGAACAACCTCTGCCACCAGGGTGAAACAGCAGCCGGCTAATAAGCACAGAGAGAGAGAGAGTGTGTGTGTGTGTGTGTGTGTGTGTGTGTGTGAGTGTGTGTGTGTGTGTGACCAGCAAGACGTGTGAGACAAGTGAGGATGTGGAAATATATTCACACGGGGAGAACGGGGGGGGGTCGTCATTGTAAACTTATGATTTTTTACTAAAAATCAAACCATATAGATTCCTGTGTGTTACCATGGCAACAACAACAGAAGTCCAAGACACTCATTTTGGTTCATTTCTCATTTTTTCATAAACAATAATAATTGCAGACAAACTCTTTGCACACTGACTGAAGTGTAGAAGTGCGTCAGCTTTTTGTTTCAAACAAGTCTGAAGATCTGAAGTCGATTTCAAGCTTCTGTACTTTTAGATTCAGGGATGTAATGCTCAGGTTAAACATCCATTCATTTCCTAATTTAGAGAGAGTTAATATTCATACCATATCAAAGTGAGTTTCTGCCTCCAGTTACTTGCGTTACAGTTCATCCTGCTTCAAGTTTAGAGTGAGTCTGAGCAGACAAACATCTTAAGCTGTGATTAAATGAGAATAAAGGATTCAGAAAGATGCTGAAATAAAAACAATGCACACATTAAGTGCTCTGTGTCTTTTCAACGACTTCACATGGAAACATCATGTGCATGAATCATCTTTAACCTCGTACCCGACACCCTCAGCTCACAACCAATGAGACGTCTGCAGCTGTCCAAATAAAAGTAAAGGAATAAAAAGCTTCTGAGCTGACATATTCCTTTAATTGACATGACAAACATTCAGCGCACTATCATCAAACATCCTCTGAATCGGCGCCAGAGCAGCCTGCGCCACTCAATCTGAGAATACCTGCAGGGCCAGAAAACTTTGAACTAGGCATGAGAGATGCCAAATACTTTTTAATGACGGTAAACAAGTCTGAGCGTTTTGATGACCTGCAGGCTTTCTGTGTTCAGGAGACTTTTCTACTTTCTGTTTCCAGGCTGCGCTTCAGATTCACACTTTGGTTTTGTTATTTAAAGACGGGGGAGCTTGGACTACAGCACACACACACCGTGCTCCACTGGCCTGACCCGCCTGCCGTAATAATCCGGTCAGAATCGAGCAGTTTAGGTGGACGGACAGAAATAAAGTTCCCGCCGGAGACGCAGAACCAGGACAGTCCTTGGCCCAGTTTTGATATCCCACAATCCTTTGTTCCTGAACTCTGTGAACTCGAGACACACACAAGGTTTAGCTCATGTGTGCTAAATGCTAACACAAAGTAATAACAGAAAGAACTTTTGCTATCAGGCTCCAATTTCCTGCATTATGTTCAAATGTTTCTGCTGCCAGATTTTCAGCATGAAATCCATCTGAGCAGAAAAACACTCATCGTCCAATGAACGAGCTGATTAGGAGTCATGTGACTTTTGTTTACAAGGCCTGGATGAATTATAACTGAGCAGCATGAAACCAACAAGAGGCCAAAAAGACAAGAATGCAAAGATGTCAGATTTTCCACTCCGAGAATAAAACAGACAGAGACAGACAGACAGACAGAAAATAGAGAGCAAGGAGAAGGGAAGCAAGAAGGGGGAATAAAGGAGGAGAAAGAAAGATAGAAAGGAAAGGAAAGAAGGAGATAGAAAAGGAGACAAGGAGATGAGGGAGGGAGGAAGAGGAGGAGGGTCACTTCTCCGTCATCCCTCCATCTCTGCACTCCCTGCAGCATTTCTCCTAATAGGATTTTCTCCCCATTGTACCCATTGTGGAGAGACTCTTAAGTGTGTGTGTGTGTGTGTGTGTGTGTGTGTGTGTGTGTGTGTGTGTGTAGTTTATGTATGCTGCAGAGACGAGGATCAAAGTCTCTCTCACTAAGAAACAGCTCGCTTCATCTGGAGGAGTTCCAGTCCAACCATCTGATGAGTGTGTGTGTGTGTGTGTGTGTGTGTGTGTGTGTGTGTGTGTGTGTGTGTGCAGGAGAAAGTGTGCGTGTCAGAGTGAAAAAGAGAGGGGAGTCTTTTTTTCCTCACAGATAACTGCATGGATGCAAAAGTCAGAGCACTAATTGGCAGTCAAGAAGTGCGTGTGCGTGTGTGCGTGTGTGTGTGTGTGGCTTTTGACAGACACATATTACTTCTGCATGGCTGAGGATATAGGTCACGCACACACCGACACTGCCCTGAATACACACCCACATCCACACCCTTTTACAGATACATTCCCCTACACTTACTCCCTATAGATATCTGCCTGCGCACACACACACACACACACACACACACACACACACACACACACACACACACACACACACACACACACACACACACACACACACACACACACACACACACACACACACACACACACACACACACACACACACACACACACACACACACACACACACACACACACACACACACACACACACACACACACACACACACACACACACACACACACACACACACACACACACACACACACACTGACACACAAAAACACCAGCAGACTCCATTAAGACACAGCGAGGTCATGGGGGGAGGAAGGGTGGGGCCGGCCAGTGAGTGGATGTGTATTTGTGTGTGTGATGTGCTACAACAGCAAATTTCCCCGACTTGTCTGAGTCTTCCTCCGACGCCCCCCGAGACCGAGACAAGACCAAGACCAGGGCAGGGCAGGGCGAGACCGAGACAAGACCAAGACCAGGGAAGGGCGAGACAAGACCAAGACCAAGACCAGGGCAGGGCGAAACCGAGACAAGACCAAGGAGACCATAAATATCGGGGGATAAAAATCAAACTACAAATGAAAATATGTTGATAAGGGATTAATAAAGGATATCAAAATCAAAAGTCTAAATGAGGACTGCATCCTCTGCATGCTGCGTCTGAATCCTGACAAATCAAGTAAACGATCCCGCTGTGAGTAATGTGTTCACAGTAATTAAATATATAACCACGGTGTGTGAGCGGTGTTGGACACAGACACACACACACACACACCGTTTATCTCCTAACACAACACGTCACCTGTCTCTGACCGACCTGCACACACTTCCACCTCGCCTCAGGAATCCCAAATATGTGGAGGCCGAACCCCCTTCAACCCCCCACCTCGTGTCGACCACCGGCATCATCACACACACACACACACACACACACACACACACAGTTAAACCTGTTGGTCCGCCTCAGAGATTAAAGGGGACCTGGAATCTAAAAACCTTCAAGAATCAGTGCAGCAGAGTTCCTTCTTCACAGATTCAGACAGGTGGAAGTCACTCAGCCTCACTTAGTAAATAATCTGTAATGAGTAAAGAGCAGATCCACATCTTTGGTCTTAGAATGTGCGGGCCAGCATCCAGACATCAGGAACATGAAGCCTAAAAGAAAACAGCACCTTTTACAAGAGCCTGGCTCACACCTGAGGGATGCACGACACACAAACACTCGCCTTTAAAATCAAATCAGGCCACACGCACAAAAAAAGAAACTTCAGAAGAGAATAACAACAGGCCTCCTCCAGAACACAAACTGTAACTTCCTGCTCGCAAACGTTTGCTGCTTCCAGCTCCTTAAATGTGAGGATTTCACTTTTTATTCTGTGGTTTTTATGACAGCTAATGAAGAGATCTGAGGTCTGGGAAATAAATAGATGAAAGTGTTCAAAAAGCTGCTCTGCTCCTGTACGCTCTCTCGTGGGTCAACATTCAAAAAGGTACGCTGATTTGAGAAATTAGACTAAATCATCGTCCTGACAGATTCACACTTAAGTGTTTTTGCTGATGCTCGTAAACGTCCCTGAAACAACAGAAACATTTAAAAACTGGACATGAAATCTTCAAACGTTCAGCAGAGACGGGGGGGGATTCTGTCACAGGTCAGGACCTCTGTGCATGATGTGTGTTTGAGTCATCAGCAGCAGAGTGAACCTGCAGACGTGTGAACACCAGGAGATGCTGCAGCTGGAGGCTCCAACATCTGGATTAACGACACACATCTGTCTGTCCCAGTGTGTGTGTGTGTGTGTGTGCGTGCGCGTGAGGAGAACAGATCCACTTCCTCTCGTCATGTTTTCCACTCATCCCCCGTCGGTGGAAAGAGGATGCTGATGGTGTGTGTGATGATAAAAACATGTTTCTCTTTTTATCACAAATGTGGAAGAAGAAAAAAAAAAGTGTCTCTGACCTCCGGGTTTAAACTCCGACTTCCTCTCTGACTCCTCTCTGCTATATTCATCAGGTCTCTGGTTGTGTGTGTGTGTTGTTTTGGTTTGAAGGTGAGAGGATTTAAAGATTCCTCAGGGAGCAGATTTCATTATTTATTTAAAGCTTTTAACAGACTCTGACTCTTTTTAAGTGAACCGAGAGGGAGAACAAAAGCCGGCTCAGAGTAATGAAAGACAAACAGCAGCGGCTGGTCTCTGCTACCACAACCAAACATCACCCTGCTGTCCAAAACAAACACACACACACACACACACACACACACACACACACACACACACACACTGATCCCCTCTCTCCCTCCTCCACAAACACTCTGCCTGAATAGTTCTGCTTTAAAACCACGTTATGTTTCTGCTCAGAGTTTACACTAAAAGCTGACGAGAAAAAGAAATGTGAGTGTTTAAATCAGGGGGCTCCAACCTGAGGTTTGGGACCCCACAAAGGGCCCTAGGATAAATCTGAGGGGGCCAAAACAAGATGAAAGGGATCAGAAAGAAAAGTAGGACGACTGTTCTACAAAATGTGAACCATGTTTCTAAATCTGAGAAAGAAATAATCAGACAGCTCATGTTCAGGATGAGCATACAGTAAGTAGTAACTGCTGCAGGGCATCATGGGAAACTCTGCAGGTCACATGACAGCTGATGTTTTTACCTTCACTGCTCCCTCCGTTCATGCTCTCTGTGCTGGACTGGGACAGAACCGTCCTCCTGCTGCGTCTGAAGGACCGCTCTGTACTGGGACTCCCCACCGGACTGGAGGTGGACCCCCCCTCCCTCCTGGAGAAGATCCCGCTGAAGAATCGAACCAGACGCCTCTCACTGGAGCGCCCGCCCCCTCCCCTCAGCAGGAAGCCCCCGCCCGCTCCGTCCTTCTCGGCTGCCAGCCGCAGCAGGTCGCTGTTGTCCAGGGTCCGGTTCTTGTTGCCTCGCGCTCTCTCTGCACGACTCAGATCAGACATGGAGTCAGTCTTATTGAGGATGGCACCCATCTCCAGAGTCCTGCTCTTCACCCGGGTGGGGTCAGCGAGGCGGGGGGGTGGGATGGCAGCAGGAGCCTCCCCGTCATCGTGTCCGATGCAGCCGGAGCTGCTGTGGTGTTTGTCTTTAGACAGCGCTCGCAGACGCAGCAACTCACCACCGCTCCAGTGTCTGAAGCTGAAGCTGCGGCGCAGCAGACCAGGGGGGCGCTTCATAGGGGGGGTCTCTTTCCCGTTACTTTTGGAGTGAGACATGGTAGTGTCTCCGTTCAGAGGGGGGTCACAGCCCCTCTCCTCCATGCTCTTAGCCTTCAGCAGTCTCTTCTTCTTCTCCACGCTGCCGTTCTGCACAGCAGCTCCACCGTTCACATCCTCACTAAGTCTGAGAGAATCCTCTGTTTCCTGCCCCCCGCCCCCCCTCTGAGGGTCTCCTGGACTCTGTGCCAACATGTTCTCCTGAGTCTCTGTGACCGGGCTGGCGGCCTTGGCCTTCAGCTCCTTCTGCTGCTTCCTGCACAGTTTGAGGCGGCCCAGCTCCAACTGCCCCGTGCTGAACGTCCTGAAGTTCCTCATGAGGCCGTGTGACGACGAGAACTCCTCCGTCTCATCCTCCACCTCCTCCAGCTGCTCCAGCAGCCCGCCGCGCTGGATGTCCACTGAGCCCTCCTTCCTGAAGGCGCTCAGCTTTGGGTTCTCTGCTCCGTCCTCTCCATCCAGACTCTCCCTCTTCACCAGAGTTAGGGAGATCCTGTAGACCGTCTTCCTCTGAGGCGTTCCTCGCTCCATCCTGTCAGAGCAGCTGCTGTCCAGAAGGTACATCCCAAAAACACACCGATTCTCCTCCTCTGCTCCCTTTGAGTGTCTGCACCAAAGTTTATCAGACTGAAAACACTCCAATCAGGGAATCAAGTTTTTATTTAATGTGCAGAAATCCTCCTTTTAATCTGAAATTTTTTTCATTTAAATCTGAAACTCTTACATTGACTTTAACTGGTTCCAAAGCGCTTTGGGGGCAATAACCGACTCTCCCTTCATCCAGATGTGCAAACAGCAGGAAATACATTCCGTGTTTATCCCGGAGGAATTCAAACCGGCGCGTGCTCCGCTCCTCTCGGTTCACAGCAGCTCTCTGCCCGGTACACTGAGGCGACCCCCCCGGCGTGAGAAACTCTTTACTGCCCGAACAGAAGAAGTGCTCCACTAAAAGGTCCTGATCCTGCTCCTGGATCTGCTCCTCCATTACACACAGGAGGGGTAAACATTATTGCAGCGCCGCGTCCCGGACCGTGCCACAGCGTCGGTTCCCATTGTGTGCGCACATCCCCCGCAGCGCGCGAAGCCAGCCGAGCCTCCTGCACCTCGGAGCGGCTTCGATACTGATTTAAATGTCGGAGGATTCAGAGCTGAAGACCCGAAGCTGTCCTCCCTCATCCGCGCTGATATAACCCGGATTTAACGTCCCTGACAGAGACAGCAGGCCCTGCAGACTCTGCCGCTCCTCCTGCACTGTGACCGAGCTCCGCTCCGCACACCGACACACACCGAGCACACAGAGAGAGGGCGGAGGGAAAACCCGGAGCGGAGATACAGCAAAGACTGGACCAGGATCAGGAGTTTAGAACGAGCTGAATCATGTCCTATCCTGTCAACAGGAAAGACGCTCCTTTACCTGTGCCAGTAAACTTTTTAATGAACTCAAAGCTTCAGTTTGTTTTTGAAGCCATGAAGGACCCACGTCTTTAAAAGGTCATCTGGGACAACAAGCACCAAGGAGGACTGCAGGGAGGTTTAATTCAGCAGAAATAAAAATGTATCTGTGGAGCGTTCAGACCCTCTTTTATTCATTAGCAGCTGTAGATTGTAATTCACAGCTTTCAAAGATTTGACCGCTCAGAGAGTCAGGGAGCAGCAGCAACTCTACGGCCGCCTCCAAGATGTCATTTTATGTTTTGTGTTAAATAAATATCGTGTGTTGGATCTGAAGGAACATTTTGAAACACCAGATTCAAATAAAAACACATAACACACACCAAGCTGACACACAAACTCCTGTACCGAACCAGCAGGCTGAAGAAGAAGAAGAAGAAACATGAGGAGGAGTATAGGAGGAGGAATCCATGTCGTGTTTTGCAGGCTGCAGAGGTGTGGAGTGTAAATAGGGTGGAGTCTCCTTTCTCTCCTCTGTGTCTGTCAAAGCTCTTTAAAGCTCCCGGCGGCCATGGCGACTCAGACACTGTCACATCTCTGCAGCAGAGTGTGAACCGGCTTCAGGAGGTCTGAGTGTTTCAAATGAGGATTAGATCTCTCACATTTAAAGACCTGCGTGGGCTGAGTGAACGACACATGTTTCAGCTCAGGACGATTCAATGCACCTTCTTCTTCTTCTACATTTTAACGCTGCTGCTGCAAAAACAACAGAACTAACAGCTGATGGGAAGAAGACACTCTGGATTCTGGGAACATTAGTGAGCTATTTATTTCACATTTTAACTCTGAAAGGTTCAATGATGAGAAAAAACTGATTATCTGTCGCCCTGTTCTGCAGAAAATAAAGACAGAAGGTGATCGGAGAAGAAGAAAACCATCTTCTAAAGTCCAGAAACAAAAATCACAAACATTCAAATCAAAACGCTCTAATTTACTGCACTTTCCCTGACACTTAAACGTCTCTTTTAGACCCTCAAACAGTGCGGCTTGACATTCATGGATGTGCAAGTTTCAAACACAAATCTGTTCTTTTTCTTCAGGAAACGTCTGGTGTCTGTTATTGCCTCTTTCTGAACCGAAGTATTTCAGTCTTCACTCTTCACTCAAACTTGAAACATCTGACTCCAAACGGAGCGATCAGCTGACCTGAAGCTTCATCTCTTTGATCACTTTGTAAATTAAAATCTGTCTTTTGAAACGAGAACTCGTCTTCTAAGCACTTTCTTTCATCCCACGTCTCCCCCGTCCTGCAGCATCTCCCTGCATTTCACACAAGGGGGAAGGGGAAGCGGGGGGGGGGGGGGGAGAAGGAGAAGAGAGAGAGGGGGAGATTAACTCCTCCCCTTCCCCTTCCTCACCTCCTCCTCCCCGACAAACTGGGCTTCTGACGCCTTCTGGATTATTACAGGGATTAATCAAGATTAGAGCAGCGGCCGCCGACGGCAACTTTCTCCTTTCTCTCACACACACACACACACACACACACACACACACTCTTGTACATTTAATTTTCCTCCCACTCCTCCTCCCCCGTCTCTCGGCTCCTCCGCGATGCATTCTGGTGTCGTTTGTGAACGTGCGACACCAGAACATCAAACGCAGCTTCAAAAGGCCTCGCCACCTGAGAGCTGCATCAGCAACACATGAAAGCAGACGGTGTGTGTGTGTGTGTGTGTGTGTGTGTGTGTGTGTGTGTGTGTGTGTGTGTGTGTGTGTGTGTGTGTGTGTGTGTGTGTGTGTGTGTGTGTGTGTGTGTGTGTGTGTGACTGGACAGATAAGCAGTGTCAGTGTGAGATGATTTTTAAGGAAAAAGTGTGGGCTGCATGTGGAGTCTGTAAATTACTCGTCTGTGCCGGCTGCAGCTTCATGACATCAAACACGCCTCCTGCTCTCCGTTCAACTGGTCAGCAGCTCGCAGCTCGCCGTGATGATGTGTGAGACGCTAAAGAGGTGCATCATGTCGGGACGTTATGAGCATTTATGGAGTAAAAATGAAACAGGTGTGAGGATAATGTTTGAGTATGGACAGTAAAACTAAAGACCTCCCCTCTGCTCCTCCTCAGTAACAGAGATAGGAGACAAAGACTCCTCCTCCCTAATTGCAGCTCAGACCGTGAAATCTGCCTCATTTAGCCCGCTTCAAATGAGCAGGGGGGCTCAAAAGAAGACCACCTGTCCCCCACACACAAACACACACATCAACAGAGACTCTGCAGTGAAACCTGCCGAGCAGATGTGAGATTTCTGCAGCTGATAAAACCTCTTCATGTGTTTGTTTGGGGGCTGGATGTATTCTTTCCTTCTGCCCGGGTCGTCACAGTCGAGCTAACTCAACCTGGATTCTCTGAAATTTCAAATCGCAGCTTCAGAGTTCAAAGCAGCCCTCACACAGTACTCCTGATGTTATGTTATATTTAAGTTATTTTGAGCTTTACACAATCTGGGATTTAATTGTTGATTGATTTGAGTGTTGTGATCTACCTGCTCTGCACCTTTCCTTCTGTCACTCTCTTTATCTGCAGAGCTCTGAGTGAAGCGTCAACTTTGAATCAAAGCGAGGAGAATTGAAGGAGCTCCGAGGTCTGAAGCGTTAATCTGTCCTGCCGTCTCTGGAGACACTGAGGGTCTTATCAGGACCTGCAGCCTGCAGCTCCGTTTGACCCCCCGTCTACACCTCAGTGTGTGCAGACCAGCAGCTACACTGAGGACGCTAATGGGAGAAAACAGAGAGGCTAACCAGGGTCAAACACGGCGAGGAGAGGAGGAGACGGAGAGAAGACTTTCAGTTTATAAAGGTGTGTCAAGTACCAATGAAAGACTGAAATACATCTGGAGCATCACAGAGCATCTCTCTCTCTCCCCTCCTCCTCCTCCTCCACCTCCTCCCTCTCTCTCCTCTCTCTCTCCTCTTCCTCCTCCTCCCCCTCTCTCCTCCTCCTCTTCCTCCTCCTCCCCCCCTCTCTCTCCTCCTCCTCCTCTGCGTGTCTAACAGTTCATGCCTCTGCACTCACATGAAATATGTATGCTTTGAGCAGATATGCAGACAGAACTGAAGCATGTCTGAAATTGCATGCAGTAAAATCTCCGACTGTAACTTTGATATTTGAAGCTTTGTGTTCCTATATAATATTATTTGATTCGTTTTTTCTTGCTAACTAATCTCCATACATCTCTTATAGATGTTGAAGAGCTTCACGTCCTTTGACATGTGTCCTCCATGTTTTAGGATGGTTTCACATTAGGGACCCGGGCCCGGATCTGAGTACGCTTGACCCTGAAGTCCGGTTCATTTGAACACAAACGTACTCGGGAACCGTGCACGAGGCCGCTTGGGGGGGGTGGTGTCGGGCCCGATCCATGTAACTAGAATACGGTCCGCGGGAGATGTGAACGCAAGCTGGAACCTGATTTTATTTTAAGTCTGACTTCATCAAACAACAAACACAGCTTCCTGAAGGTGATGGATTTGTCAACATGAGTTTGCTCCAAAAAAATGTGTCAAAATATTCTGTAAAAAAAAGAAAGTATGAATATTTTTACAGAAGAGAATCTACGACCATCTCCTCTCTTCATTAATGAAACGTTTTGTCACCTTCAACCTTCACTTTGTACTTTTTATATTCATGACAACAACCAGGTTAATGGAACGAGGATGACACGCTAACATCAGGATGTAACACACACACACACACACACACACACACACACACACACACACACACACAGGTAAAATAGAAGCAAGGTGCCACCGTGACAGTCATGTTTAACAAACACCCAGCAGGGAGAACTGTAATCAAACATGACAGAAACACACACACACACACAACCTCATCTTCCTTCAGCAGGAGTACAGCTTTTTTTCTGCATCAAAGAGCGAGGGAGCGAGCAGCAGGAGGTACGACTCCCTTCCCTCTTTTCCACCCCTACACACACACACTCACTCACTCTCACACACACACACTGCCTCACCCCCCTGAGACGGAGAAAATGGGTCAGTTAGCAGAGGGAAGAAGAAGTCGGGGGGGAGGAGAGGGAGGCACGAAGGAAGGGGAGCAGAGGGAAGCCCCCTGCTGGCAGGAGGACGATGCACGTCCAAACACAGCAGAGACATGCAGAACTCAAACTCGCAGCAGAGGATTCTGGGAAACACACAATATTCACGCACGCACACACACACACACACACACACACACACACACACACACACACACACACACACACACACACACACGAGAACATAACATGTGTGATGTCTGACTGGTTAAAGAACCAGCCATGTTCACATCCAAGATGCCAAAGAAATGGACTACAAGTGTAAAGAACTACAAATGAGGAGAGTATGGTAATTGATGTTTTTCTTACCTTTGATGAGTGACAGCAGACAGGTGAGAATCAGCAGGACATAAGGAGAGAAGAAGAAGAGAGGCCAATCAGAACAGAGGATGATTATTGCAAAACTTTAGGATTAAAATCGATTCTCATAAACCAAAATCTGAGACAGAAATGACTCAATAAAAACACAAAACATCAGAGAGTCAGAATCCGCTGTGAGAGAACAATCATTATCAATGCCTAAAATTCAGAGCTACGGCAACACAGGAGGCCCAAACAGCCTCCACAGCAGACAGGTGACCTTGAAGTGTTTTATGGAGATGAGGTGTGTGTGTGTGCAAAGAGAGAGAGAGAGAGAGAGAGAGAGAGCGAGCAGAGAGGGGGGAGAGGAGAAACCTGCCCCACCTCGTGTTCCAGACGCCTGGTCTGTTGCCATGGTGACCAGCCTGGGTTAAGGGGGGGGGGGGGGGGTCTTGCACGGCTGGCTTGGTACTTGATGGATGAGAATGTGTGCCCTTACTGAGCATGTGCAGATCAGACAACTTAAGAGTGTGGAGCGTGTTTTTAAAGTGACGTTTGCAGATATGACCAAACTC